CTTGTGTCAGGTGCACCTTAGTCCTCAAGGAGATATCCTTGCTCCTCAGCACTTGAAACATTATGTAACTCAAATTCATCTGTTCAAAACCCACTGCTGTTAAAGTGATTCAGACTCATATCGACCCTATAAAACAGAGTAGAATTGCCCATAGGGTTTTCAAGAGTGTAAATCTTTACAGAATCAAGAAGCAGACTGCCACGTATTTCTCCAGCACAGAGGCTGGTGGGTGCAAACTGTCGACCGTTTGGTTGGCAGTTGAGCATTTTAACCTCTGCACCACAAGGGCTCCTTAATTCACCTATAATAGAAGCTTAATGGATAAAGAATTATATAGGTAATATGCTAACACAAATATTCTTATATAAAAAAGCTGAGTAATTATTGACATGGAATTGGAACAGAAATCAAGATTTTATGTACATACTCCAAAATGGTTTTACAATAAATAAAGTACACTTAAAATTCTTTCTTTCCAAAAGAATAAAAGAATGTGAAAGTAAATTTTAACCACAATTTGTTTAGAAAATTTTTAGTTCCTCAGTATTAGTTTTGAATTACTAATCTTACCTGCAAAATCTTTCACATTCACATTTGCCCCTAAACTTATTAATTCTTTGACTTGTTTCACATCTCCTCGAATAGCTGCCATATGTAAAGGAGTTTCACCACGTTCATTTCTTTTATTAACTTTATCTTTCTGTCGAGATGAGGAACTGGGAGTTTTCTTATGGGTTGGTGTTGTTTGTGATGGATGATTTGGCGTAGAATCTGTAAAAGAGAAAAGTTAAAAGTTTTCAAGCTAAATATTTTGTACAGTTATTAAAAGGTTACTATTGGTTATGTGCTAATTTCCTGGAACAGAAGGGGAATATGAAAGATCACTGGCATGATCATGAAAGGGGAATATGAAAGATCATGGCAGTGATCAACCTAATAATTTGAAACTTGATTTGTATGATACATTAATGATTTGACTCAAATACATGGAATAAGATCTTCCCTTAGGGTTATCAAGTTACACATGAGCAAATTTAGAAAAGTATTTTATTTTGTCAGTTCATAAAATCAGCTCGAACTGATATAAAGTATCAACTATGCTCCCTAAAAGAGTTTGCTCAATCAATAATTTGATGAACTGCAAGACAATGAATGTATTATTCATATGTATGTTATTATTCTAAGAATAAGATAAATGAGTTTGAAGGCTACAGTTCATACTTCTAACTCAAGGTTATCAGACTTCTATTCTGATATTAAGTGCAAATTATAATCATGGATGTTTTTAGTATGAAAATGAATACAGGTACATAAATCTAAGATCTAAAACAAGGGCAGTTTGGAAAAAGGCCTATAACAATTGCACTGACATAAAATAAATGAAATTTTGCTAGCCATAACCAATAATATTCACACACAAAAATAAAAGTAAATTATCTAAAATTACAATCTGATAAATAAAAAATAAAGGACAATTATGTTAATAAGACAATGAACTCTAAACTCCAAACATATCTACATGCTGGCTAACAGTTTGATACTTCAAAAAGCTTTTTACTCTAGTACTACACATGTTAATAAAGAAAGCTCACAAGGATCTCCTCTTAAAGGAAAAGAACTAACTACAGAACAGAACTATAATATAATGCCAACCAAAGGAAACTCATTGCCACTGAGTAGATTCCACCTCACAGTGACCCTGCAGGACAGAAAAGAACTGCCCATAGGGCAGAAGTCTGTACGGCAGCAGACTGCCACGTCTTTCTCCCAAGGAGTAGGTGGTGGGTTCAAACTGCCAGATGACCTTTCATGTAGCAGCTGAGCGCTTAACCCTTAACCACTGTGCCCCAGGGCTCAAAGTATAATATCATTTATATTTAAAAACACACTACAACAGAAGTTATCTATTTTTATGCTTGTATATACCTAGAACATCTCTGAAAGTATAAATAAAACAAATATGTAGGAATATGAAATAAATATAAGTACTCAAAAACAAAACATTTAATAAAAGTTTTTAAAAAATAGATATATGAGGTAGTAATAGACAGACAAAAGAGCACTGGATTACACTATATAAGCAATTTTCTTCCTGAATGCTTTGAAAAAGTACATTCTAAATGCCACTGTTTTTAGACAGTAACATTTAGTAAAATTCAAATTTTAATGATTTCTTCTATTAAAATTTAACTTCTTCAGTAATATTTCAAATGTCCCTTAGTATTATATGTTTGAAACTTCTGTTTCACTAACTATAATTATATTCTTAATTACTGCTAAACTTATATAGCAATATTTCTTCAAGTTACACTCCTGATTCCACTAATGATTTGCACATTATACCACTGAGCTAAGTGTCTCATCACTTAGACAAGCTTTATCCCATAGCTATTGAAAAAAGTACCCAATCACTTTCTTCTAGTCATATAACTGAATGATAATTGAATGAGATAACCATTGGCTATCAAGCTGATTCTGACTCAGGGAGACCCCATGTGTTTCAGAGTAAAACTGCTCCATAGGGTTTTCATGGCAGTGATCTTTGGAAAGCAGATCACCAGGCCTTTCTCCCAAGGCACATATAGGTGGGCTTGAACTGCTCATCTTCTGGTTAACCGTTGAGCACTGCACAGTTTGTGCCACTCAAGGATTCTGTAAGTACATATAAGAAACTATTAATAGTGGTTATCTCTGGAGATGAGGGCACTGGAGATACAGGAACATGTTTTTGCTTTATTGCTTTAATGCTTTTATTTAATATATTTTAAGAAGGACAGAGATTAATGGTACCCAAATAATCAGTTTTAAAAAATAACAGTCCTTCCATCCAACTATTAATTCTGAGCAAAGATGACATTTTATAGACATTTTTAAGGTTTTATCACTGTAAACTATCTTTAATTTGGCTCTGTCTTTCCCCAGTTGTGGGTAGAAAAGTAGGAGAATAACCGAACAATGTTGTAGTTGAAAACAGGAAGCCTTACAGTATTTTTATCAGTGTAAGATATTAGAAACATTCACGCTTCAGGGAAAACTATGTGATTCAGAAACACTAAGAATTTTATCATGTTCTCTCAGTTTTTAAAGAATTGTCAACACAGGAAAAGTTCACAGGAAAAACTGTCTATTTCAATGCATTTTAATAGCAGGCCAGAAGAGCAGGAGGAAGGGGTGGAACCCAGGAAGCCAAAGAGAAAAGCGATCAGCCAAGGGGCAGTTTAAGCATAGGTACTGAAACAAGGCGGGCTTGTGCTTACTCACTGATCTGCACTGAACACTTTGCCTTGTTACCCTCCC